GCCCTCTGCCTCACTGTAAAGTTCCCAGAGAGCTTGGCTGCCCCTCACTGCTCCTACGCTGGAGGCTATACGGCAGGCGTTTTCCATGAGAACAGCAAAAAGCACATCTCCACTGCTCTTTTGCTGATGCTTCAGTTCCTGCACCGAAGGATGAATGTGTTAAAATATTACAAGGAAATGGATCTTGAAAATGTTTGTCATGTGTGTTAGACTTTCCAGGATGTGGCTTCTTAATGGGAGCAGAGTAATTTTCTGCTCAGTATTTCTACAAAAGCCCTACGTGGCGCTGATCCTCTGCTGTGAAGGATTGCAGCCTCGGGAGGTCTCAATTCTGGAAAAGCTCTAAGTGACTGAAACAAGGGTTTACTGAGGTGAAATGTGCACGGCAACGTTAGCCATGACAGCATTACCAGCTTTGCTGCTGCTGCTAAATCCCAAACGTATTTCCTACCCCAGTAAGCTTCAGTAAGATCCTCGAGGGTTTTTCTTTTTTCCCTAACACCTGGGTAATGCCATGCGTGACTCACCCTCTCTCCTACTGTCAAAGCACGTTCAGTTCTGCAGCAGCAGTGCATGGTGAAAACCGAATGCCTGGAGCTTGTATCAGCTCTATCCATTGCCTGTCGGGTCAGCTGTCTGCTGGACAAAAATCTAGCAACGCTTGCACGTGTGTACCTACACGCAGGGTGTGCTTTCAGGAAAGCTGTATACCCACATAGCTTCTTGGGGTAAGCAAGCCCAGCCTGTGCTTACTTTTCCAGCTGGATTTTCAGTCAGACTTCCAGCACAGCGTTAACAAAAGGTAGGGGGAGAGAAGGGACTCGGTAATAGCTGCAGGAGCCCTCACTTTCATTTCCTTCAGTGAACTTCACTGTAAAACTTCAAATGTCACATTTCCTCCATGCACAATTTTTAATTAAAACCTCTCTACTGAAAAGGTCAGGACGGCTTGACTCTCTGCTGCCCTTGCACTGATAGCCCGACAGCAGTGACAGCTAACAGCAGTAAACAAAATTCCTCCCAACCTGAAAAGAAAGCACAGAGGACCCTCTCTGCCTGGAATAGCAAAGGAAGGGCAGCAGCGACTGCCTGTCCCTGTGTCCCAGTGCTGCCGCGTGCCTTGTGAGGAACAGCTGCCCGTCATCCCTGTTCTTGCTGGCTGCCCTCATAAATAACACATGGCTCCTTGCCGTACCCGTCCTCCCATCTTTTCCTCTTTAGCACCGCTTCATCTGCTTCTCCCCCCAAGATTACAATATTATTTGTAAGCATTGGGTGCAATGTGCTTTTGCACTTCTAATATATGGGTGCCAGTGAATTGTTGGATGCACCAGAAGCTACTTCTCTTCATTCTCTGTGATCACACGCACGTGGCGAGCTCCTGCTGTCCAGCTTTTCAGTGCTGATGTTTGCAATTGCGTTGCTAAGATAGGGACCTTCTTTTCAGAAGAAAATCTTATTTCCAATGCTGTTGTCAGCCACGATATTTATTGCAGATTCAGCTGAAACTTCCAAACACCTATGCTCTGATTTAAGTTGTGGACCACAAAATGTGGAAGGGAAGGAGCAGGGCTGTTACCATGTACCTGTCATTAGTGTGCTGGAATCTTTTTTTTTATTCACCACCAAAGTGACATCCCCACCTATGAACACTGAAAACACAGACTGCAATAAGAGACCGGTCAGTTTTGACTGCCGTTTTCTCCTTTCAAACTGAAGTATAAGATTTATAGAGAAACATGTTTGATTAGAAAGAGACTTTTCACAAAATCTATGGTTGGCTCACGCCTAGAATTTTATTCAATCCATTCAAAAAATAGACAGAACTATAAGGTGGCACATATTGTCAGAGAGTACAAACGTCACATCTTTTTTTTTTTTTTTTTTACAGTTTAATTTAAATCCATAGATTAAGACAGTGAAATAATTGCCCTGGGTGGGAAAATAATTAAGGGTCTTCCGTGAAAGGACAAGTCTTCAGGTAAGCATTTACACAAATGTATCTGGTTAAGCATAACTTTTTCTATCCTCTATAAAAATATAAACAGCATTTCAAAATGTCTTTAGATAAGCATGTCAAGGTCATCTAACATGGCATTAATGTACTGACAGAACATGGGGCCTGGGCATATCAAACCACATTTAGTAATCCATACCCAGCCAAAACTGAAACATTTTGTATAATCGTCAAACATGATACAATATAGTGAAAAAAAAAAAAAAAAATCAAACCAAAGATACACAAGTATGTTCCTCCTCCCATATGCATTCTTTATTTTGTATTTTTTGTTAATTTGGCAATGACCAAGACAAAAGTGGCAGTTTTGCACAGGGCAGTTGTAACTCGGGATCACATAGAACTTGCTTTTCCCAGAACATAACGTTGCTGGGAAGCAACGTGTGCCAGGATCAAATTAAGGGCACTCGTTGTCACGTATGTTTTACCTGTGCCGTATTACTTTGATACTGGCTGTAGCATGGGACAGGAGGACAAGTGCAAATTACAAGGGCAGAATCTTGGCTTCCCAGACAGCAGAACCAGACAGTGAAAGTAAGACTAAACCGTATTTTAAAGGCAAGAAGGAAATTAAACAAAAAGCCAACTCATCTAAACAGTGGGATGTAGGGCGTTCCTGGTACAGCTGTCGTAAACGCACCCTGTGTTTTCCAGGGATGCGATCTGATAAGCTAAACACCTCACCGTTGTTGCAGGGACTTATTGGTTCAACACAGATTAAAATGTTCAAATACATCGAATATATTGGTCACAGGTCTAATCACATAATTTCCCTTTTCCCAATCCTAGATTTGTATTGGAGCAGCTTCCCCATCAGCTGTGTGTTTGTACAGCAGAGCACTCGATGTAATTGACTAGCACGTATGCCAACAACAGCTGGTATTTTCTAGTTAAAGTGATCTACAAGTGAGAAACAAAACCTAGGGAAAGGGTCAGGTTTCAGATAAAGGTTGGACGTTTTGAACTTTGGACAAAGTGACGGGTATCTTTGATTCTCCCGGTGCTGGCGCTTTTGTGACTGGGTTTGCATGGGCTTTTATATCGGCTATTCTCTCTTTAAATCTTTGCTGGAGGTACTTTTCTTCTTTGGAGTAACTTTTAGCAAAAGCAGACATCAGCAGACACGCCGCCACGGTGGACCCTCCGACGCAAAACAAGATTGCTCCCGCCAGCTTGCATATATCAAGGGACCCATTAAACTGAATGGCACGGGTATCCACCACCACAAAATCATCTTTCCCGAGAGCTTCGATTTTCGGTGGCACAATAAAACCCACTACAAGAACCGTTAAACCTATCAGCATAAAAGCCGTCCCAGAGATGAGTCCGACCTGGAAAACAAGCAAACAAACAAACAAAAAATTAATATGCCTTTCCAGTTTTTAGTTGGTAAGTGGTCCTAGGAGGCATTTAGCTTTCAGTGTCTTGCAGGTACAGTTCTCTCTTCTAGGAGAAGGCTGATATTTTTCTTTCAGGTCATATGTGGCCCTACTAGAACACATGGAGAAACCTGTCTTTTTACAACTCATATTTATATAACGCAGTACTGACATCTCTGGAAACAATAGAGTATGCATCTAAACATCTAAATAGCATTTCACGTCCAAAGGCCCCATCACAGAAGAGGATCACAGTTTAACCCCAGTGCTGTGCGACTGATTATTTCTTTAGCTTAAGGTGGTGGTTAGCACCAACAGTTCAGTCCCCACCGATAGCCTGTCTCATGTCCTTGCTTTTACTCCACGAAATGTCATTCCTCTGCAGGGATTAGAAGGAAGTTGCTATTGCCAAGAAGAGATCACAGAATACTTCTAGCACATTTCAAGTATGTAAGTACAACATTTAGTTCTCACAGAATGGCCCTACTGTCAAAGCAGAGGCATTGGATTAGGTGGCCTCACAGGCCCCTTCCAACCTCTGGTGTTCTCCCATTCTGTCAGGCTCCCTGACCTTAACGGAGATCTTGCTGTTTGCTTGATCCCTAGGTCACACAGTCCCATAGTTACTGCTGTTAACCTACCAGCCCTACTCCCAATAATCTGGCAAGACTACTGTGGGTGCAGAGCAGAGGTAAACTACATGCTAGGGGTGGGGTTTCCCAGACAAGACTTTGATGTTTCAGTGATGTGGCTCCTTGTGACAGAGAAACTAGAGGATCCAAAGACCCCAGAACTCCCTCGGAAGCTGATGTATCTTGGTAAGAGCACCCTGCTTTCAGACAGATGGTTATTCAGTTATCTCGTGGAAAAGTGAGCAACAGAAGGCCTTTCTGGATGAATACCTAAAGCCATTAGTTACATGGGAAAGTCTTGAAATGCGAGTTTCTCTCTCCAGTAAACAGCAATGGGCAGTACCTTCCAGAATGTAGAGTTCCACCTGCTAGGCGATCTCTGGATCTGAAAATCATCCTCATACTCCCAAATTGAAGCTGTGCAGTCCTCATAAAACTGATGCAGGTAGGACCGAACTCCGTAGCGTTGGTACCCTCCCTCGGTGCTGCCCTGTGCATGCTTGGACCCGCAGATGTCAGCATAGGCGCTCATCCTTCCTACCTGTAATGAGAGGTTTCATGCAAAGTGGATCATTATCGATATGGCAGGAGAGAAAAGCTGGCTACAAACTCTCCAGATGACACAAAGAAAAGCAGCCCAGGAAAGACCTTTCCTTCACTTTTTTTCCAAACCAAGAAATGAGCCTGGTAGAGTTGCACATGGTGACTCAGCTCAGGTGAACCCAAGGCACCCAGCATCTTGGCGCAGCGCAGCACAGCCTAAAGGTGCTGCAGAGAACATTCCCTCCCAGGCTGCCCGCTCCCCATCTTTCACACTAGCCTGCTACTGTGTTTCCATAGAGACTGAAAAAAAGCAGGATATACCAGGTAACAAAAGCCAGCATCCCTCACATTGCCTCTCATCCAGACTGCTTCTGTCAGTTAACTAGAGTTTGCAACCTTAGGAACTTTCCAAACTGCCAGGTAAGGCTTTTTTAATGTTTTTGCCTGAGCTTTTGAAGTGCAGGACTAAGCATTGGTACAACAAGCATAGCCATGAGAAACAGAGGCAAAATAAGTCCTAGACAGATTGAAACTGTGTATGTCCTGTACTTAAATATGGATAATTAAAAATGAAGAAGATGGGATGCCATAACAGCACCAATCTGCTCACTGAAGAGAGTGAAAGGGAAATACTAAACCCATGGCAAACCACTGT